AGTTGATTTGAAATAGTTCTGGCTGTACCATGTGTCATGGCAAAGTTCAGGGGGAAGAATCTGGCCAGAAGTGGGCAGCCAACTGCTTGCTCAAGGCCTGCACTCTGCCTGAGTACACACCAAGAGAAGTACACTGCCTTCCAAAGAAACACCAGGAGATGGAGTTAGCTGATGCTAGTGCCCCGATCACAACCATGAAGACAGTGACGGCGGATGAGTGCCTCACATGCGTGCACAAGTGTCCCAGGTGCTCCACACATATCACTGGGCCGCATCCATCACCCTTGGAATTAGGCACTGACACTCAACCTGCAAATGGGGAAAAGAGGCTGACATTTGCCCAGGACCACACACCTGAAGAGGCGGAATTGAGATTCAAATCAAAATCAATTTCCCCGAAGTAACTTTATATCTTGATATCCGCTCGTATCATTTATCACTTTGTATCCATCGAATTGATACAGCTGAAACTGATGAGGCTCCTGGACGGAAAAGCTGAAGGGACTAGTTTTTAAACAAAGTTTATTGAGAAAGTAATAGCGTGTGGCTTCAGTGGCAGGTGCCACATAACGAGAGACTTGTATGTAGTTAACAGTAGACATTCTGTGGCCAAGAGCCTCTACTGATGGAGTGGGGTGGGGCAGTGACCTTATCTGTGAATAATGAGGCATCCTCAGATGCCCCAAGGCAGTAGACTAAGAATCAATGTCTTTTCTGAGTGGCTTATTATAAAACACTATAACATAAGAAGGACAGAGGAAGGCCCCCGATTGTCAGTGTAGAGGTGAGCAAGATGGTCTTTGAAATACATGGGTTCCCACAGAGGTACTCCTCTTTAGCTACTCTGTTAATGTTTTAGTCATTCATTTCTTGGCATACTCATTCACTCATAAAACATTTACTGGGGATTAAGAGATGCCTCAGTGGTTAAGAGCACTGGTTGCTCTTACAGAGGACTGGGGTTCAATTCCCAGCACCCACATAGTGGCTCACAACCACCTGTAACTCCAGTTCCGGGGGAACTGATGCCCTCGTCTGGCCTCTGAAGGCACCAAACACATGCGTGTGGTACACAAGCATGCCATCAGGTAAAAGAGTCATACACATAAAATAAAAATAAATAAAAATTTAAAAACAAAACATTTACTACCCACTGTAGGCAAAGCATTAAAAACGGGCTGTGGGGAGAGAGAGGAGGGCAGAGAGAAGATGCGGAAGCCACAGAGACACAGGTGTCGTCCCTGCAGGCTCCCGGTGCTTTTCCAGGAAATTCCACCCCTGTGAAAATACAGTTCATACTATGGTCTGATCTGTACACACACAAACAAAAGCTCCACCAAGCAACACACACCCTTAAAACTGTAATATTCTCTATCCTACGCCACTGAGTTATTCTAATTCAATGAAGACAACACCCAGCCCAAGAGGCTAGTATGGGAGTTCTAATGAGGCATGCATGTGTGTGCACGCGAAGCTGAGAATTCCAGGAGGTTCAGTATTCACAGATGCACGATGGCAGGCAAGACATGGGTTTTTACAGGCGCATGCTAGAAGTAAGGATAGGGGAGAATCGAGAGCTAGACGAATATGAAACGAGGGTATCAAACAAGATGAGCGAGACAAAGGTGTGCTCAGGGAATACTTATCAAAAAGGATCAGAGAGGGGAGATGATCACATTCCTGTCACTTTCCTGTGTGTTCACTTTGGGGGACACTACCCTGCTCTGGGCACGCATGCTCGCACACACAGAGGCTTATTCCTACTTCTATCAGCGTGGGGAGCAAACCAAGAATTCCACAGATCATAAAAGCAGAAAAAAGCATCCTGAGAGGACCACAGATCTCCCGAGCAGTATCCAGGAATGCTGAGTGGAATACACGGATTTTTAAAATGCTGGAATGAGTTGAAAAGACACACAAAGGTCAAGGGATGCAAAGGCATCATGACTGCCTGTGGGGGGGCTCTTCGTCTCACAATCCTGGTGGCCTGTCCGATGTCTACATGAAGATACAGAAAGATTTGGGCCTCCAGTGGTGGGATACCAGAAATACAAGACCTTATAGAAACTGTTCTAAAACAAGGACAATCCATTATTTGCAAACTAACTAACCAGGTACAAAAACCACAAAGCCAGGCCTTTGGAAACTGGTGTCACAGCACAGTCACTTACAGGACAGAAAACACATGCTTATGAGGACTGAGTGTACAAAAGAGACTTGTGAATATGAGGAAGGAAAAAACCACAGTAAACCGTAGAAATCTTTAAACAGATTCTACAAGGGAAAGAAACAGCACTCCTGGGGATTAAAAATATAATTGCTGAAATTAAAATTCTGCATAGGAGGCTTAAGTAACATATTAGACGAAGCCCGAGAGAACACAAATGAATTGAAATATAGGTCTGAGGAAATTACTCAGAATGCATTCAAGATGAGGTATTAGCAGTGATAGAAGAACAGTGAAAAGATACATAATAGAATGCATGAAGAAGTAAAAATATTGGCCAGGCAGTGGTGGCACACACCTTTAATCCCAGCACACAGGAGGCAGAGGCAGTCACATCTCTGAGTTCAAGGCCACCCTGGTCTACAGAGTGAGTTCTAAGACAGCCATGGTACACAGAGAAACCTTGACTTGGTGGTGGTGGTGGGGGGAGGGGATCAGAAAACGTGTACTAGGAATGGGTAAAGAGGATAATGGATGGTCAAGAATTCCCCAGGCTTGGTGAATGAATGAGTGATATAAATCTGAATTGAAAAAGCAGAACCTCAAACACAAAAATACAAATCAACTCACATGCAAACACAGAGGAGTTAAGGCACAGAGCTCTGAGGGTAAGGAGAAAACCATAAAAGCAAACAGAATAAAAAGTAAATAATCTACAAAGAAATAAAACAAGAGGCTTTTCAACAGGAACCACAGAGGCAACTGAGTGAAAGAGAGCTTCAAAGGTCTAGTCTAAAGGTCCAGAGGACAAATGAGTCCACCCAGAATTCTATACCCAGCTGAACTATCACTGATGATTGAGTGGAGACCATGATGCTGAGCTGAGCAAGAGTGAGCTCTTCCTCTAACTTTCATGTTTTGAGATAAAAATATAAAAATGACACAGATAACCTCACTTAGCTTGCTGAGCATACAAAAAAGACAGAACAAGGATAACAGTCAACAAGAACAAAGGCAATTAAATGTCCCCATGAAGCATCAAGAAAATAGAATAAAACTATTGACTTTTTCATAAATATTAATGACTCTGACTTGAGCACCTTTTGGGTACAAACAGAAACATTGCTGAACAAGTGAAAGATGCTTATAAAGAATATTAATGAAAAAGAAAGCAAATTTGATTTCTGTGGGACATTCTTATCTTCCATCTTGTTTCCTCCACTTAGGATAGTTCTTTAGGTACTGAAAAGTCATATACAGAACTTTAATGTTCCTCTCTTGTCCACCATCTATGGAACTGTTACAGACACAGCATCTCTCGGGAGTCATCAGAATTCTTTTCCTCCTCCCCATTGTCCTCCTGCAAGGTTCTCTTCGCCATAAGTCTTCAGATAGACGTCCATCCCCTGCCTTTCATCTACTAGTCTATATTTGAAATAGAAGTGACACTAGACTGTTTAAGCTGGGCATGATGGTGCATGCTGGTAATTCCAGCTCTTGAGAAGGGATGGAGGTGTGAGTTCAAGGCAGGTTTGCTACAAATGTAGCTGGAGAACCTGTCTCAAAGCAACCACAAAACCTAAAAGAATGTAAAAGAGCAAACAAACACCAAACCAAAAGAAAGTGCTAACTGCTAAATAATCTTTCTTCAGATTTACAGAACTGACCTATCTAGTGACCTTCAAACGCATGAGAGCTTTTCTTAGTCTTCAGCTGTATGCACCAATTAACACACATGTATGTTTCTGTGAGGTTTAGCCTGAAGAGATGTGACATTCATGTTTGGAAAATAGGACATAGCCCCAGGAGGTTAAATATGTGATATTCCAACTCCAGAATAAAATAAAAACAAAATGTATGCCCTAGAAGACCCTGCTCAGCATGTAGCCACATTACCCATGGTGCTTTGCTTTCCCCAGCCACCAGCTGTTGGCTCTCCTGAGTTCCTCCAGATGTAGTTTTGAGGCTGCTAGTCCCTTTGTCATCTCAAGATGCTTGTTTTTGAACAAACATGAGTCCTTCTCACCAACTCTCTTCTGGACTTAAGGGAAACAGCTTGGGCCGGGGTCTCATAGACATATGTAGTTTTGAGAGTCTTATCTTTAATGATAAGACCCCCAAATAGAGGGTCACAGTACCCCCAAGCAATCAATGAATATCTATACTTACCTATATTTATCAGTTTACCTATCTATCTATCTATCTATCTATCTATCTATCTATCTATCTATCTATCATCTGCCTATCTATCTGCCTATCTATCTATCTATCTATCTATCTATCTATCTATCTATCTATCTATGTATCTATCTCTGTATGTAAAAAGCTCATGCTATATAGAGAGCAGGCTGAATAGCGTGGAGGAAGAGCCAGTAAACAGCATTCCTCCATGGCCTCTTCTTCAGTTCCTGTCTCTAGGTTCCTGTCTTTCGGTCTTGCTATGACTTCCACTGTGATGAACTGTGAGCTGTCAGATGAAATAAACCCTTGCCTTCCCAAGTTGCTTTTGGTCGTAGTGTCTATCACAACAACAGGAAACGAAACCAAGACAATAGTTTGCTTATCATTTATGTACATCTCCCTGAGTACTTTGAAATCATCTCTAGGTGATTTATAACACCCACTACAATGTAAATGCTCACGGGTGGGTGTTACAATACTGTATTGTTTAGGGACTCATGGCCTGTTCAGTATATGCAGTTACATTTTCCCCTTGGTTTTTTGATCTGAGCTTGGTTGGGTCAACAGACCTGGGACCCATGGATCTAGAGTACCAGTCGTGTTCGGAGCAGAGAAGAATTTAAAAAGAGGTCCTTCCGTGGTCCATACTCACCAGAGGCTCTGCCATAATGATGCGAATCTTCCGCTCTGCCTGAGTGGTGAAGTTGACAAATAAACTCTTGAGGACGTACTCTCCTGGTTTGCTGTCTGGGTCCACATTGATGGGCAGCATGGTCGGTGGTCCTTTCTCCCTGTGTGTACCCGAAGCAGGTGGAACTGGAGGCTTGATGTAGCCGTTGCCGACGGGTGAAGCTGGAAAACAGGGTGGATTTTAATGGATGAAAAGAAAGCCATCAATATGCAGGCGGTGTATGTTCGTAAACCATAAATGTTAAGACTATGAATCACAAAAAGGCCATGCTTCAAATCACAGCCTGGCCTTAGTCTTTAGAAATGGTGTTGGAATTTAAGTGCTCTGATTATGTAATGTTTTTATTACAACCAAATCCATCATCCTGTTCACCACATGGATACAGCTGATAAATTCTACAACATTTAAGACGTTGGGGCTTCTTTTTGAATGTTCTAGGCAGGTGGATTAAGGAGAATTGAAAGCGTGCTTTCTTCTGTCGGTTTTAATGGTGGGCTCCTTGTCCTCTGGGCTTCACAGTCCAAGAAACTCTTGACCATTGCTTCTACAAATCTCTACGAACCAATTTTCAAAAACTCAGCTGCCTGCTGCTCTCCAAAGAGATGCACTTCTACCAAGAAAAGGGCTGCAAAGCTCAATCCTGCAATCCCAGCACTTGGGAGGCTGAGGTGGGAGGATTTCTGTGAGTTCCAGGCCAGCCTGGGCAATATAGGTGAGTTGAAGGACAGCTTGATATAAAAACATTTGTCTCATAAAAGGGGAAGGAGGTCCTGCCTGCCTTTCTACGACCCTTTCTGCGTACATCTGTAGAGCAATGCCTCTCTCAACCCTCATCTGAGAAACTTTTATTTGCCGTAGATGGTGATTAACACAGAGACCCACAACCCACGGAGAATAAGGAACCACAGAAAGCTCAGCCCCACGCCCCTCCCCACCCCCAAGGCTCAGGGATCATCTCAGAAGAGAAGGCAAGGAGTTTAAGAGCCAGAGACAGTGGGAGATGACAAGGAAACTGTCTTCAGGATGTGGCTGGGCAGTTGCACAGACGATTCATGGTTGTAATGGCACGCACAAGAGGTGTGCAGGCCCAGCCAGACCAAAGCCCCGCACGCACCAAGAGGGGAGCTGCCGGGAAGGTAGAGGTCTGTTCTCATTAAGAGTGCAACCACTGGTAAATGAACCACGCTCCAGTGAAGACCATCCATCCAAGAATATTTTGAGCTGCACAAACTGGTCTCGAAGATTTTTGGTTTGTTTTGGGGGGATACAGCGTTGGGTGGACAGGGGAAGGGGGGCATCTGGGAAGAGTTAGAGGAGTGAATACAATCCAAACACTTGGTAAGACCCTTGGAGTCCTCAAAGAACTGATCTAAAAAGGGGGAGAGCGCCTCTGTCGACGACGACGACGACGACATCCAAGGTGTGGATTGAATTTTTCGTTCTCACCACCACCACACCAAATTGCAGTGCCTGTGTTGAGTTTTACAGAATGTGCAGAGTCCTAGTTACACTTCTCCCAAGCAGGGGCGGCCATCGGGGTTCCTGTGGGGGGTGGGTGGCCAGTAGTCTCCATTCAGAGCATAATGGAAAAGTGTTTTATCAGATAGTTACTGAAAATTATTTTGTTTATAAATGCAAATGATCTCCCCTCTCTCTTTGAGACAGGGTTTCTCTTTATAGCCCTGGCTGTCCTGCAACTCGCTCTGTAGACCAGGCTGGCCTCGAACTCACAGAGATCCGCCTGCCTCTGCCTCCTGAGTGCTGGGATTAAAGGCGTGCACCACCACCTGGCGAACAAGGCTTCCAAATTCTTCCCCTTCCCCTACATACTTGTTTTGTTTTGCTTTCCTTCTTTGAAAGAGTCTCACTCTACAGTCCAGACTGACTTCAGACTCAAGCCAGTCCTCCTGCCTCAGCCTCTCAAATGCTGGGATTACAGCTATCTGTAATCAGAACTATCTAGGAGATCCATGAGTTTCTAAGCTGTCAACTATCCCATGAAAAATATAAGATCGAGAGAGTTAAGATAAGGATACCAGGAATGAAGAGGACAGGACAGAGGAAAATATGGCCTTTAAAGGCTGCATACAGTTCCGGGTGATCGGGTACAGGCATTAAGGAAAGGAGACATGACAAAGGAGAAATCCCAGCTCACTGAGAATGCTTATTCTACAGGCGAACGTTCCAAGGCAGCTGACGGAGGTCAGCATGAATCACGCCTGCCTGGTCTCCGATGCTCTTGGCATGTGGACACCTTGTGGAAGTAGGGCACTGCCCCAACTGCCGCTCAGAGGGACATCCTATCTGCGCTATCTGCCTACTGTATCAAGGTCACCAAGCTTCAGAACCAGAGACCTGAATGTCAACCCAAACCCTTCATTTGGAAACAAGGCTTTATTCTCTCTGATAGCAGTAACCGAGTTGATGCAAAACACAAATCACAAGATCCTGGGACTAAACCCATAATGATAGCAAGGAGGAGATCAGGACAGTGACCCTGGCACACCTCTGGCCAAGTCACAGACAGCTGAAACCCGGGCACCAGAGTACCTCATTCAGTCCCTCCATTTCCAAGCCCAAATCCCTGTCCGCAGCTGTTTTTACAAGAAGTGTCCACCTGTACTTCCAATCTGGTGTCTTTGTAAGCACAGCGCCCACCCACGTGACCAAGCCCACCACCCCGGAGTCAAGGCAGAGAGGTTACAAAGGGAAAGCCCCTCTTGTTCTGTGTGAGTTCACACAGCTCAGCCTTGGGAGATGGAGCCATGGTAAAGGTCAGAGGTGAGGAACCTTGAACTCAATCCACTCTCAGGTTTCAGAAAGCCCTCTTTATATCACCGTCATCAATTTCCAAGTGACAGGTACCGCCATTTTTCTAGAAGAAGCTCAACAGGGCAGCTGTTAGGGCGGCTGCTCCCCAGTGGGTGCCTGAGTTTGGGAAAATCAGGAAATGTGCATACCTTGGTCACAAACATCAACGCCACCTCCTCCTTAGTTTAAGCCTGGTGTACATGAGTGTAATTCCAACACTCTGAAGTGGAAGCCGGAAGAACAGAAGTTTGAGGCTAGCCTGGGCTACAGAATACCCCATTTCAAACAACAACAAACAAACAAACCAAAACACACATAATAATAACATAAAGACCACCCTTATCTAATATTACCATAGATAAAATCATTAGACCCTCCCATTTGCTTGAATCTATGTATTACTAATTTCATTTGTCCAAAAAGAAAGAAGAAAAGTGAAAAAAAAATCTGCTGGTGAGTTTTTAAGTTCACTACAACCTTCTCTTCCACCTCTTTCTCTCTCTCTGGCTTTTTGAGACACCATCTCTAGCCAGGGCAGCCACAAGTCCTTTACGTAGCTGAGGATGACCTTGAACTCCTCATCTGCCTACATCACCAACATTTGCAGGACCATCGCAAATACCCCTTACCACCCAGTAGGTCAGCGACTGTTTTATAATGATGCTGGGACAAAGGTAAAGGCAGCCTTGGTGTCCCTCGTGAGACCCCCAGAAGCTGAGAGAGCAGGGGCATGGCAGGAAAACAGCCGTGACCTCGGCACTTTTCCGTAAGTAAAGTCCACTTCTCGTTGGAGACAACCGCTTCTCACCCCCGGCTCACGCCCTTTCAGCCGGCAAGTACGCCATGGGCACCTGGGCTCCAGGCCCTGCTCTAGATCCTGAGACACACTGGAGAGGAGGCCCAACTGCTCTTCCTTGTTGTTCCTCCTATTTTGTGGCAAAGCAGTTTCATGCACACACACAGAGACACACAGACCCAGACGGACAGACAGACACAGACATACAGTGTCAGATGACATTTTCAAAGCAGAACAGGAAACTGAAGCCATTAGTAGCTAGAGTTTTCCTGCCTTGCCCACAGTCAGGACAAATCTTTGTCACCCGCCAGTCCCACAGCCACTCAGACCCAACCAAGTAAACACAGAGACTTATTTTGCTTACAAACTGTATGGCCGTGGCAGGCTTCTTGCTAACTGTTCTTATAGCTTAAATCAATCCATTTCCATAAATCTATACCTTGCCACGTGGCTCATGGCTTACTGGCGTCTTCACATGCTGCTTGTCCGGGCGGCGGCTGGCCACGAGGGGCAGCCTGAGACGGCCTCAGAGCCGTCAGACAGGGATGGGAGCCATGTGTGTTTGTATGTGTGTCTGAGAGAGTCCAGACACACCTGACCACCAGGATCTGCTCTTCCAGTCCATCCCTTTGGCCTGCCCCATATCTGTGTGGAGATGGGGACTGTGGCAGTCTGTGAAGGACAGGAATCACATGCCCAACAAGCACACGCTTCTCCTTCCTCCATTTATGAAGCACGGGCCTCTGAAAAGATGGCCCTGGTTGTCCCTCCAGGATGGGCAGAGCACACAGTCACCTTTTCAAAGAATGGGGTGCTCTTTATAAATGCTCCCCTTCCAGAAGCAGTGCTGAGGATCTAAAATGCCTGCCCTTCCGCGGTGTCCCCAACCTGATAGGTAGCAACCAACCCTCTGAAGCAAGTACACTTCTTAGAAGTGGAGGGCTAATTAACCCAACTACTTTCTAGAGACCAGTGGCCTTCTTTTTCAATTAAGGAGTCGATGTGTAAGAAGTCTGTCCATGCTTGGAGGAAAGTCAGCCTTCTGTGGGTCTCAGGACTCTGTTCACCTTCATGTGTCAAGGATAAACCCTGTTGTGTCAAGTCTGGGCATCGTTCTTTAGGACGACGACACTTCTCAATCCCAGGTCTCTGTTCTTGACTCACTTTGTTTACCGGCATTACAGGGTATTACATACCACATCAGCAAGATGCTGCAGCTGCCGTGAGAACTTGCCGCGCCGTGGAAGGGCACTAATAAATTGCCCACTAACGTATTTAGGAAGGTGCTTAGGAAATGGGAAGTTGAAAGGTTTTTGCAGCTTCTCAATGTGGCCAGAAACTCTGGGAGTCAGAGAAAGCAAACTGGTGAGAAGAAAAACACAACCCTGGACACGCAACAGCAAAAGGTTGTGCTTAGAGTAATTCCAAGCCCTGAGGTGGTGGCGCTCGCCTTCAATCCCAGCACTCAGGAGGCAGATACAGGCGGATCTCTGTGAGTTTGAGGCCAGCCTGGTCTACAGAGCGAGTTCCAGGACAGACAGACAGAGCTACAGA